TCCCCTTCAGTTCTTCCCCCCCGACTCGGGCCGGCTGCATTCGGTGGACCCCCGCGGACGAGGGGCGACTTTGCCGCCGCAAGCCTTTCGGGGCCGCCGGTGGAAGATGGCGTGGGTGCTGAAGATGGACGAAGTGATCGAGTCCGGGCTGGCGCACGACTTCGATGCCAGCCTCTCCGGCATTGGGCAAGAGCTGGGCGCTGGCGCCTACAGCATGAGGTGGGTGTCCCGGCTGAAGGACCGGGAGGCTCCTCTTGGCCCGGTTTCTCCTTCTTGGCTGGGGAAGAAGAGCTCGGCTGCGTCGGGAGTCGCTTTTTTTCGCCGTCGGCGCCTTCCTTTCGGCGGAAGAGCCTCCCGGCGGTAGTTTGGCTCTAACGCTGAGGCAGTTGCTTAACTGTTTTGTTCCCTGCGAGGGAAGCCGTCGTGACGCCTGGGGGAAGGCGCTGCTGGCTTGGCAGGCTGCTTTACTCATCCTCGCGAGCTCCTCCCAGTGTGATAGCCTGCCCCGCTTTCATGAACGGGCGAAATGGTCGTTAAGAGTTTCTCTCTCTTCCCCTCTCCCTGCGCTCCTTCCTTTCCCGTGTGGGGTCGGAGGAACCAGCAATAGGTCAAGAGGGTAACTTTGGGCACCTACCGGCCTTACTTTAACCTTCGAGGCCATATTGATCCCTTCTGTGGAAGAGGGAAGGAATTGTAGAGCAGAAGCAAGGCTGTGAGTCGTAGTCCCTTACTATTTCGTATCAGAGGCTGCTACCTATCTTTCAGTTCCGTTCTGAACCCTCTTAACATGTGTGACATAATTAGAAGATACTCTTTTCTTGTGTTTTAGACATATACCACATTGTTCTGCTTTTTTCTTTTCTGCACTTTTCCTTTCATCTTTTTTCTTAACTCTTTTATATTTTTCATGTTAAATTCATGTAAAAATTTGTCAGTGAAAAGTAGTTTTTAAAAAATATACTACATTGTTCTGATCTGATTCCATTTGCTTTGACTAAATGAAGGGGATCTGAAATATATAAGTTTATGAACTTTTTCTGGCTGTACAGGTAGTCCCCAGGTCTGTTCCCACGGTCTGTCCTTAAGTCAAATTTGTACGTAAGCTGGAACAATATTGTTGTATAATACCATATAAGTAGTATTGTGTAATGAACTTGAACCATTGTGTATTTAACTTGAATTTTGCTACAATAGGCTCCATTCTTAACTATAGGTCGTCCGTAACCTGGACGTTCTTAACCCAGGAACTAACCGAATTCTGGATGTAAGGAATATCTACAATGTTATCATGACCAGAAATTAATTAATAAATGACATGTGAAACAAATACCAGTTAGCCATTTATGGCTTGGCACCTAGGTACTTGCAGGACTATTTTTTCCAACCAGAACCCCCTAATGGTTCCTTATTTTCATCAAATGGTGGGGGCTGAAGTTAAGATGAAGAGTGAAGTGAAGTAGAAATCCACCAACTCTTTGAAACAGCCTCCCCTAAAGATTATATTAGCCCTTCTTATGATCATCCTCTGGAAGTTGGTTAAAATGGAGCTCTTCCAAAAGGCTTTAGGGCATTGATAGGATATTGTAGTTGTGTATTGTTTGTTTTTTAATTTCACAATTTTTATAGCCTGGCCAAAACAAAAGGCTCTGGGTGGGCTACAATACATCAAAATTATAAAAGCAATAATAGAAATAAGCTGTTATAAAAATAACAGTAATAATAAATCAACTCTCCCCCAGGATAGCTGGGGTTGAAGGCCTGATGAGATAAAACTTTTTCTTAACATTGATGTTTTACGTTTGTATTATATAATTATGTTTTTTGTTGTTAACCTCCTAGAGAATATTTGTATCCAATTTCAGGAAAACCTTTCATTCTAATTTCACATATCTTGTTCATCATGATTACCCAACTTTCCATGTAGCATTTGAGGAGGCAAAAGATGCTGCCATGGGGAAGTTCATTTCTACCACCCTAATTGGAGATGCCTAAATCTCCATCCAAAGAGATAAATTTTTCAATATATAAGTTGGGAGTAATGCCCTGAAAAGGTGATCAGATTTTTTTTTTTTAAACAGCATTAGTTGCTTTCAAAAATACCTTATTTGGGCCTACCACCTTTATTTGAACCATAGTTAAGAATTACATGAAGTACTCATGAGCTGTCCCTGTTCTGGTACAATCATAAGATCATACACTATTGCTTTCTTTTTAAGCTTGTTATCTTCAAAAATGAATACATTATAGTGTTAACTGTGATGTAAGAGAACATCAATTTCAAGTGACAGTTATGATCTTGTCTTGTTTCTCCAAATCTTAGTTAAGCTTAACCACAGTTCTAGGATTAGACAGAACAAAAAGTCACATTTAACCAAAAACTGCTGATGTCCTTGATGGCTCAAGACTCAATTTCATGATGGTTAGCAAATATTTAGCATTATGTTCACACAATATTGATCTATAAATATATGGAACTGTCTGGAATCTTGTTAATTTTTCTTCTTTGGCAAGTAAGAAATTTTATATAAAAGCCTGTCCTGCTACTTCAGTAGCAGAAAAATCTAAAATGAAATCCTTCCATTTAAAAAAAAATGGAATAGATGGTTTTCCTTAGGCTTTCTAATAATTGATACTTACTTTACTCTCCTATTTGCTTATCGCCGGAATTCAAAGCTGAATGGAATGAGCTTTGAATCAGTTTGTGATTCTAAATTGAGAACTCTCCCTCTTGTTCTGTAGCAATTCTTCTATAGTTCTTTTACTTGGTTATTCTCTGATTGAAAACTCCTTAAGCCTAAACTTAGGGAAACTTGCAGGGGGTGTCTGGTGTTTGTGGACTGCAGAGAACTACTGGAAAGTCTTTTGAGTACATTTCTTGTCTTGCATAATGTCTTCCATCATACTTTATTTTCTAATCATTCTCCTGTCTTCTTAATAGTTGGATTTAAAGTAGAAATACAACAGGCATTATGAGTCTTGGTATTTCTTTTTCTACATTAAACATTATCAGAAATAAATATAAAGAAGTGGGCTATGTTTTCCCCCCTCTCCTATACAAAGTTATATGTGGATTAAGTTAAGTGATAGTTAGGAATATATCTGAATAACTTCCTTGAGAAATGTAGCTGCTGTACGGCCAAGGCGGACGTACAGTACAGCAGAATAGTTGGATTTAAAGTGGAAATACAACAGGCATTATGAGTCTTGGTATTTCTTTTTCTACATTAAACATTATCAGAAATAAATATAAAGAAGTGGGCTATGTTTTCCCCCCTCTCCTATACAAAGTTATATGTGGATTAAGTTAAGTGATAGTTAGGAATATATCTGAATAACTTCCTTGAGAAATGTTGCTAGCTTTGTGAAATGGCTTTGCTTTTTTTTGTGGACTAGAATATATTCTAACCTTAACATAAGTTTGCTTTTTAAAATCTTTCCACTGTGTACTTGTGGTTAATGTTACAAAAAGTTCTATTGCACAAGATTGTTATGAGAAGTTGACTGCAGTAACTTCTGAGCCTAAGGAAGAAAGTTGGTATAGTTCATATATCAAACATTATTTTTTTGTTCACATGATTCAAGTCCACTTTGTTTACTGGGTATGATGTGCTCAACTCGGATACTGGCTGGGTGACTGCTACAGTAACAGTTTTATTTGTAGTTTTATTTGATTGTGGAGATACAAAAGTTTGTGGGGAGAACATAGGAGAAAGGAAAAAACTTGGTCCCCCCCTCCATTGGAAATGTGGGATAATTTGGGGTAGAAAGGGGATAATGAAATAAAGTAAAGCACTTTTTTAAAGCAAGGCTTTACTCAAAATACGTTATATATAACTGTGTTTACATGAATAATGCCAGTACATACTCTAGATTTGTTTTCCTAATTCTGGTGCCTTCTAGATAGGTTTTAATTATTGTTTATACTATAGAATCCCCATTCAGGAAGACCATTAAACATAGAAATTTTTAAAAATTATATCTATACTCTTGTGGTTAGTGCTATCTTCACTAGACAAATATCCAAGACTTTGTTGTTGGAAATGCTGTTTGCCTTAATTATAAAATGTATAATTAATATTTTCAAATAAAATGGCATAAATTACATATGGTAACCCAATATTTGATTTGTTAGTTTTTCTTAGTAGTTGTTACAAACTCAGCTATTGTGGTTTTGTGAACCATTATTTATGGCTAGTAAATCACATTTAAATAAGCCATGGTTTACTATGATGTGTGAATGTAGCTGGTGAATTGTATCATAGGTTGGATTGGTCACTGAATCTCATGAATATGTCAAATACTGCAGTTTTACATGCTAAGCTGTAAATAATGAGTGTTATATTATGCAAGCAGTAATATAAGTTTAGGTTTGATTAGAAAATTACTATTGCATATATTCCAGTTTTCCCAAGATGTTTGTATTTTATAAGGAGAGAGAGAAATGACTGAATTATATGGCCTTTTTTCCATTTCAGTGATGTTCTGGCACTGCCCATTTTCAAGCAAGAAGACTCTAGCCTTCCACCTGATAATGACACAAAACATCCACCATTTCAATATGTTATGTCTGCTGCAACTTCCCCAGCAATCAAACTGCATGATGAAACACTTACTTACTTAAACCAAGGTAAGCATTTATCTTTTGGGCAGAGGGTGTAAAACACACAAGTGTGTGTGTGTGTGTGTGTGTGTATAATTTGTATATTAATACATTCAGAATCCTGAAATTATTTTTAAGTACTTGGTCTTTAAAAAGTTCTACTTGCTTTTTGTCTTGATATTGACAGAAAATTAAGAAAATTCTTTGAATTCATGGCCTGACTGTTAGAAATATGGACTCCAAATATTCATTGAACAGAAAATAATGGGTTTTTATCTAAGGGCAGGATAGATGTGGGATATGACCAGTAGTTGGCAATTGTAATATAAAGACCCAGTGGAATCTTATTAGTGTTGACTTTCTTTAAGGAAAAAGCTGGAGTTCCAGCTTTACATAGAAAAGTAACTGGTGCAGTCAAGGTTAATAACATTGCTAGAAAAATATAACTTAGAATTTATTAGACTAATTATGTGTTTTACATTGGTTGAAATTATAGGGAATATGTTGGTTACTGTGTATGGTAGTTTACTTAAATGTAAAATGTTATATACAAATGAGATCCCAGGGTTAATTTTGGACAGGTTTTAGATTCTTAACATTATTTATTTTCCTCAACTAAAAAAGTACTAACAAGAAAAAAACCACAAAATACTGCTTTGCATTGTATATTCATGTAATGTTTGGCATTTTTCTAAAGAGTTTTTATAAAGACCTAGGCTCTTTAGTGACCAAGTGTATGTAACATTTCACTCCACTTTCACTGGGGTATAACTAATGCCTATATTTTCTATAAAATTCTCGAACTGAAAAGCACAAAACACTGCAATAGGATTAGCAGTTGGAAGAACAGAGATTAAATTGTTTTATTGAAGAACAAGCACATGAAGTGATCTGAGTTAAAGAGAAAAAAATATTTTTTAAATGTTTGGGTATGTCGCTATGATCCAAAATGTATAACAGCTGTTAGAAAAGGTAGTTTTCCTGACTTGTTCAAAGTTGTTTTGTGTGCTTTAATAACTATTACTAAGTTAGTATAAAATCTTATGCATATATTTTTAAATAATGTATCAGATTGTTTTATTGAGGCTCACCTTAATAGAATATTTTAATAAATGCAGAATCTGTGTTTGCTGTCTTAAAATAATTACTAATTTGAGAGTATTCATCTTGTTACCTAAATACATGTAGACTACTATGTGTTGTTCAAAGATGGGAACAGTGGATTGAAGCCAGATTTAATAATACTTGGAAAGACATTGGTCATGATTAACTTAATATTGCTGTATGCACTAATCATGACTATGTCTGAATCCATCTCCACTAATAAGAAAATAGTTTAGAAGTATATTCTGTGGCACTGCTGATGATGACCGCTGACTTTGTTTCCTTGGAGTTCCCTTTTGTTTAAGTTTCTGTTGTTGTTACTTCTGTCTTCCATTTTCAGAAAGCAATGGTTGTTTATAGTTTGCAAAATTATAATTGTTTTGACAACCTTTTTGCTTTGGCTGCATATAGGATGGGTTTTAGTTGATACTGCTGACAATCAAAGCTGTATAATTATCTGAATTCCAGAATACGTTGTATGAAGCTCAGATATGATAGCTAGCGTTTATTTGGGTTGTGCCTAGCAAAAGTAAAGTGGCTATGCACGTACATGCATACAGACAGAGTTGGGAACAACTTTTGAAGTGAGTGACTAAGCCTTGCAAAAGATGTGGCTGCTTTAATAATTTAAAAGTACTGCATTGTAAACATCTCTTCCAGTGTCTTGCTCAGAACTAGCATTTATTTGGTGGATCTCTTACTGTCAATTGCTAACTTACAGTCTGTCTCTTTTCCTTCTTTCTCACTTTTTCAAAAGGACCTTGAGAATTTGAGAGAGGAACTAGTACTGTTTTTCACACAATGTATTTTTTCATTCCTATTCTGCTTTGCCTTAAAGAAAAAAAGCAAATAGTGTATCACATTTTGTTGTAATTAACCAATGCCAATCAGTTTTTTTTTAAGAGAAACAAGTCTAAAATCTTGTATAAAAATATTTAATTATACACACACATACACACACCTTTTCTTTTTCCTTTTGAAAGGTCAGTCCTATGAAATTCGGCTGTTAGATAATCGAAAAATGGGA